TTCCTGCCACAGGCCCTAAACTGGCAGCAGTAGCTGCCCCAATAATTTTTGCCACTCTCTGGTCTTTTCTCTTCCCTCTAGATCCCAGTTGTTAAAAGAGGGGAAAATTTAAACAAATATATAACTAATAATTTTGAACATTATAATTTTTTGAGCTTAAGGCTAGAAATATTAATATGATCATTTCCAATCCAGAGATGCATGTTCCAATGCAGTTCCTATTTTCCATAAATGGTTTTGGTAAGAAGAATATTGTAAATGTGGATACAGTTCTACTATTTCTCCTCTATGCCACGACATAGGGTTATTAGCATGAGCAGTTATAAATCCATTGCCATCATTACTCTAACTTAAATTTTTTAAAAAATTTAAATTTATTATTAATTTCAATAGAAATTTACAGAGGCTTTTGATTTCCATTCATTCAGTGTTGCACATTTCTCCCCTCCCAACTGTCCCCCCAGAACACTACCCTCTTGGAAAAGTAAAAGAAAAATTCTTTCATTGTGTTAGAAACCCTCCCCCAGGTCCACTCCACCATGTAGCCATCTCTCTAGACTCCTGTCATGACAGAAATACCTAATCACATATCTCTTTTCCAACTCCTTGCTATTGTGAATAAAGCTGCAGTAAACATGGGTGTGCATATATCTGCATAGATGTCAGTTATGGTCTCTTTGGGGTATAGTCCCAGTAGTGGAATTGCTGGATCAAATGGTATCTCTATTTGAAACTTTTTGAGAAAGCGCCATACCACTTTCCACAGTGGTTGCACCATTTCACTTTCCCACCAACAGTGAATAAGGGTTCCAGTTTTTCCACAACCTTGCAAGCATTTGTTGCTTGCTGTTCTGTTAAATTTTGCTATTTTGACTGGGATGAGATGATATCTCATAGTTGTTTTTGCATCTTTCTTAGAGCTAGGGATTTTGAACATTTCTTCATGTGCTTGTTAGCCATCTGAATGTCGTCTTCAGTGAAGTGCCTGTTCATATCCTGTGTCCATTTTTCTGTTGGATTATTTACCTTTATCTTGTTGTGGTGCTCAAGTATTTCATAAATTCTGGATATAATTCCCTTATCTGATATGTTATTACCAAATACTTTTTCCCAGTCAGTGGCTTCCCTTTTTTACACTGTTGGCGAAGTTTTTGGATGTGCATAGGGATTTGAGTCTTAGAAGATCCCATTCATCTAATTCATCTTCTCCTGGTTGTAGGTTTTTCAGGATACTTGGAAGACAGTTTATGTTGTGGATTAGGACTTTGAGTGTTGTTCCTATAATTCTGTAATGAAGCTTATAGTCCTTGATTTTAGTCCTAGGTCCATGATCCACCTTGAGTTGGTTTTTGTGTATGGAGTGAGGTGTGGGTCTTGCTTGGGTCTTATGTAGATACTTTTCCAATTTTGCCAACACCATTTATTAAAAAGGCTGCCATTTCCCCACTTTACTGATTTCATCTCCTTGTCAAAAATCAGTTGACCATAGATAGACGGGCTGATCTCTAGATTCTCAATTCTATTTCATTGATTTATGTGTCTGTCATTGTACCAGTACCATGCTGTCTTTACCACTACGGCATTGTAGTAGGATTCGAAATCAGGGAGTGAGATACCTCCTACCATTCTTCTGTTCTTAAGGAGTGCTTTGCTTATTCAGGGCTTCTTTCCATTCCAAACGAAACTGGAGATTGCCTTTTCCATCTCGTTGAAGAATGGAATTCGTATTTGGATTGGGATTGCATTAAATGTGTAAATTGCCTTTGGTAGTATTGCCATTTTCACAACATTGAGTCTTCCTATCCATGAGCAAGAGATATTCCTCCACTTCTCAAGATCTCTTTTTGTTTCTTGTAGTAATGTTTTGTAATTTTTTTTGAATAGGTCCTTTGTGCTTCTGATTAAATTTATTCCCAATTATTTAATCTTGTGATTAGCTATTTTGAAAGGTATTATTTTTCTTAGTTCCAGCTCTGTATTCTCTTTGTCACTGTGGAGAAATCCAACTGATTTTTGTATGTTGATCTTGTATCCTGCCACTTTGCTAAATTGGTCCACTGTGTCCAAGAGTTTTCTTGCTGAGTCTTTAGGGTTTTCTAGGTATACTATCATGTCATCTGCATAGAGGTATAATTTTACCTCCTCGTTGCCAATTTGGATACCTTTATTCCCTTCTCTTATTGCTATCGCTAAGACTTCCAAAACAATATTGAATAAGAGAGGTGATAGTGGGCATCCTTGCCTAGTTCCTGTTCTTAAAGGGAAAGCCTTTAACCTCTCTCCGTGACAACCAGTCTTACATGCTGGAGAATGAAAGCCAGTGACAAATGCTACTAACAAAGCTTTCATACTTCGTCCATAGCTGTTTTATAAATATTACTGGAATTATGATTTTGCCCTATGTGTTTACCATCACTTTTTTCCCTTGTTTAATTTTCAGGCTGTCTTACATGTAAATGGTAATTATATTAACATTCTTTGACATACTAAGTAGTGTAGTCCATCTTGGGGTATGTGCATCTGGGGTGCTACTTAAAGACAATGATAGTAAAACTTTTCCCTCACCTACTTTGAGCTTGCTGTCAATATAGGCTGGTCCTTGGAAAAAGACAGCATGCTGGGAAAGGTAGAGGGTGCACAAATGAGAAGAGGTCCTTCAATGAGAAAGATTGACAGAGTGAACTGACAACAATGGGCTTGAGCATGGATCTTGATGGTACAAGATAGGGCAAGACTCTGATCTGATCATAGAGTACCTGTGAGTTGTAGTTGGCATGATGACTCCTAGTAACAATAAAAAATGTGTGTAAAACTGAATAATAATATAATACCTATTAATTATTATTATAATACCTAAAATTATGATAGGTAGATAGATTATTGTTACTGTGTGTTATTTAGTACAATATGCCTTATAGTGACTGTATGAGCAGCAGATCTGAATCCTGTCCTGCACCATACTCTCATTTCCAGCATACTTGCTCCCACTGATGTAGTTGCTTGCTCTGTCTTTCTGGTTGACCATCCACCTTTAAAAGAATGAAGTCCCTTTCCAAGGAATAGCCCCTCCTAAAAATATGCCCAAAATATATGAAAGAAGCTTTGTCATGCTTGGTTCCAAGAAGCACTCTGGCTGCCCCTTCTCCAAGAGAAGATTTTTTTTCCTCTTTGTTCTTTTGTCCATCCATGACTATATTCAGCACTCTTCTGATGACTGTCAGATCCCATCTAACTCATTCTAACCCAATGGGTGTCAGAGTAGAACAGTGCTCCGCAGAGTTTTCAGTGTGTGGATTTTTTCAGAAGACCACCAGCCCTTTCTTCTGTGGACTTCATTTCTGCGTGGACTTGAACCTCCAGTCTTTTTGTTAGCATCAAAATGTGTTCACCATTGGCATCAGTCAGAGTTTCATGTGGTTGCATTTGTATTGTCTTTCTCCTCCTTGTTTTTGAACGGGGGATGGTATGTCTGTGTGTGAATAAATCACTAAATAAAAGAATTTTAAGGACAGAAATATATTTGGTTTGCTTCTGTTGTTCATATATAGGAATGCTTCAAAAGTAGCTTTAGAAATTAGAACATCAAAATTCAATTAACAAACACATTTTTTATATATACTGAACTTAGGATCTTTCCTGTTTTTATTTCTGTAATAACACTAACAATCCTATCTCCAATCAATCATATATATATATATGTGACTACTTGTCACATTTCATATATATATATAATGAGTCCAAGATATGTCTCAAGTGTAATTTTGGTATAATTTCAAATATATTCTCCACATTTCCTGTTTTTCAAATGTAAGTATCATTAATGTCAATCATATTTAGATTTTTCTTCGAATTTGTTTCAGTTTGAGAAATATGTCTTGGGGACTACTAAAAATTCATAAGAGTTGTAAGTGAGAATGGTGAAGTTTAACACCTATTAACAATTACCAAATTCTGCAATAAACTCATCAGTAATAATACATTTGTATTCCATAGTATACATATTTGTCTTTGGTAGTTTTTGTACCTATGAGACTGCCTAGAAAGATCTTAAAATACTGAAAAAATCTGTAACAAAAACTATACCTGAGAAGCAAATACTAAAGGGAAAATCTCCATCCTGAAATTATAGCCTGCATCAAATGTGTGTACAGTGTGCCTATATAGGTGATCTTCTGCCTCTCTAGATGTTTATGTGCTGTGTATTTTGTGTATTGCTGTTATACTAGGAGCTGGGAGCTATGCCACTGGTATTTCAAATACTAGCAGAATGATTCGTTGTGGACAGATTTCAGCTGAGCTTTTCGATTAAGAGGAGGAACAAGCTCTGACATTCGACTTTTTAAAATTAGCAATGAAATCTCGATGGGCTTCAATACACTGTTCTGCAATATAGTATTGGCAAATGAACCCTAACATAGCAACAAACATGAGGATGATACACAACTGGGCAGCATTTCATTCTGTAATTCATTCTAATATCCATTGCCATAAGCAAGAGTCAGCATTTGCAACAACAGCACATAGGTGGTAATTTTTCAGCATCCAATTAGGTTTTTCTGGGAAGATACTGTTTTCATTATCAAAGAATCATCTTAAAGTCCAGGAATACACATATTATCTTAGCCCATCAAGTAGCATTGAACTACTTGTCACTTTTAGATAGCTTGTCTTGATTCTCTGTTATTTATTTTCCCCTAGTATTTCAAAAAGGGCAACTCTGATGGCAACGTGTGTAGGGAATTGCACCACTAACCTGAAGGCTACACCCCTTCAGCCAGTGGCTCCTCAGCAGAAAGGTGGGAAATCTCTGAGGCAATTTAAAGTCTCAGAGATCCATGGAGAATCAGCTGTGAATCAGTTTTGACTCAATGGCAATGAGAAAAAGACTCTATAAAAAACCATCACCAAATCTTACCCACCAAACAAGATGATCACTCTCCCTACCTGCTTCCAGATCAAACTCAAACCTAACACATAACAATATCCTTCTTCTTTTCCAGATTCCGGTTTTGGTCACACAGATAAGTTCCACCAATCATCCAGTGAAAGTGGGGCTGTCTGATGCGTTTGTCGTGGTCCACAGGATCCAGCAAATCCCCAGTATGTAGAAGAAGGGTATTCGCAAAGTGTGAGCCTTCTGTGGGGGTAAATTTAAAGGAGATTCATATTGGGCAGATAGAATATTTTAAAACAATCACTTTATATAATACTCTCTTTTAAATTTTTCTATGTTTGCTATATCACTATTACTCTTGAACTAACAATTCAGATAAAGAGAAATTAAATAGCCAAGCCAAGTGTATATGATTTTGAACTCTTTGGGATAGTTGTTGGGTTGCTCCGATACATTTCTTTTGTTAATAATAAGAGCACCTAACTGTTAGCTGATTTGAATCATAACCATATGACTTCCCATGTGTATTTGCTTTTTTAATTTAAAATTAGTGTCTTAGCAAATTAGCAGCTTTGTGCCAGGGTACATTTAGCAGCTTGCATAAAAATGCCTTGGGGGCCTAAAAGGAAGAGGAAAGAATTTAGGTAAAAGAGAGTTTTGTAGAACTGTATCTTTAAGTAAAGATACAGTTTTATTTTTCTTACGCTATTTTAGCCGAACTGTTGTAGCTTACATTTTGTAAAAGAAAGGCATATGTCACTTTGAAGAAGCCATTCGTCATGTTAGAAAATGAAAATGTTAAGTCTTCTGTAAGATTTCTGCTCCTGGAAATTGTCCCCTCCTATTGCTGTTTGAAGCCTCCTCTCATACTAGGAAAGATACAGGGTTCATGAAGGAGAGGAAGACCCCCAATGAACTAGGTTAACAAGGTGGCTTCAGCAGTGAGCTCTAGTGTTGTCAGAGATAATGAGGATGGCACAGAATAGGGCATAGATTTGTTATAAGTCGTGCTTGATTTGACAGCATGCTACAACAGCTTCTTTAAGAACAGGGAACTCAGCTTGCCTAGTGGGTAAAGTCTTGTGTTGTCAAGCCAGAGGCACTTGGTTCAGATCCACCAGCTGCTCTATAGAAGAAAGACAAACACTCTCTTCCTGTGCAATCACAGCTTCTGAACATCCACTGGAGGTTCAGCTTTGATTTGGTTCCAACTTGATAGCTATGGGTTGGTTCCAACCTAATGGTATATAAAAATGACAACTTTAAAAGCAATCCTCAGTGAAGTTGTGTCTGGATTGGGGTGTGTTTGTGCATTTGTTAATCACATGTGCTTATTGACAGCAAGAGTTGATAATTATATGCATCTCAGGATTAGATCATCCCTTTTCTTCCACTCAGTTCTTTTCCTTCTCTTATTTATTCATAATGCTAGATTTCATTTATCACATGCATATGCTGTGTTATCTTGACTTGAGCTAATTTGGTTTAATTTTGTCATCTTTAAAATGGCGTGGCAATCATTTAGACTCCTCAGAGCAAGATACATTATAGAGCTATCCTACAATTCCTTCTTAGAGGGACATATATATCTGGCAGTCAGTTGCCTTCAGGAAGAACTTACAACTTCCATAGCTTTCTTCTAATTAGGTGGTAATTTGTGGGTGGTGATATTGAAGAGAGTGATTATAACAAAGTGGATTTTCCGGAGATGAAATTACATTGGGGACAGAACAAGGATAGATTAGTATGTGGAGGAAACATAAATGCAACCTGGCAGGATTCCTAAATGAGAGACTGAGTCCTGTGAAAGGCAAACCTGGCTTCTTCCTGAGGAGGAGGAGGCTGTCACCTTCTTTGATTCAGAGGTGTTAGATCAAATGTGCCTTGAGTTAATTAGTGCCAGAGTAAAAGAAAACCGTTTTTGTTTCTTTATTGTTTCTCTTCATCTCTGCAAGACTTTTATTAAGTTTATTTAAAAAGCATGTTGCTCTTCATCAGTTCTAATATATCTTTGCTTAAGGCAAAGACCTACCAAAAGTACACATTTTTTAAAATGTATTTTAATAGTAGGATCTCTGATTGGACAGTGTTTAAAGTGTTTAGCTGTTAGGTGAATATTCAGGTATTTGAACTCATGAGCTGCCTTGCTTGAGAAAAAAGGTAATTTCCTTCATGAAGAATGTTGTTGATGCTCCTTATACATGATGATGAATAATGTTTCTATTTCTGTGTCATTCTTACAGTCTTTGTTGTTCGTAAATCCACTGTTGGAGGCACTGTGTTAGTAGTATATCTGGTTGAAGACCTTAATTTTTCAGTGTCCCTGTACTTTACCAAGCATGATTCTTTTTCAGAAGGTTCCTCCTGTTTACATTCCCGTAGAATGTGAGAAGAAGTCTTGTCATCCTCACTTATAAAGATCATTTTGTTTGTACTTCTACCAAGACAGATTTATCTGTTCTTTTGGTTGTTCATGGCATATTCAACATTATTAAACAATTAAGTGATTTGAAGGCATCAGTTCTTGTTCAGTCTAGTTTATACATTGCCTAACTTTCACTTGCATATAAGGCAATTAAAAACACTGACTGGAGTCAAACATGGCTTAGTCCCCAAAGTAAAATCCTTGTTCTTTAAACACTTAAAGTAACTCTTTATAGCAACTTTCCCCAATGCAATAGGTCATTTGATTTTTCATCTCCTGCTTTCATGAACATTAAGGATTCAAGTACACTGACATTCTTAAATTCAATCCTTTCTGTTTATCATGATGTTTATTCGTCTAGTTGTAAGAGTTTTTGTTTTCTTTATATTTAGGTGTAAACCATACTAAAGGCTGTCATCTTTCAGCTTCATCATTAAGTGTGTTAGGTATTCCTATGGGGCAGTTCCAGTCTGTCTCAAAGGGCTCCTTTGAGTCAGAATTAACTCAGATCAGTGACATCTTGATCCACACTGTCCATCTGATATATTATTGTTCAGAAGAAAATATCTTCCAAAGTACATTTTAATGATGCAAATATTTTGTCAGTGTGTTCTCCATGATAAAATTGTACTTAGATTCCAGGGGTTCTAGAATACAATTTTGTACCCTAATTTATCCTGCAGGAGCACCTGAATATTGCTGATGGTTAAGAGGCTACTAATTGAGGGATTGGTGGTTCAGGTTCACCCAGAAACACCTTAGAAGAAAGGCTTGGTGCTCTGCTCCTCAAAGACCCTGGATGAAGCACCGTTCTCCTCTCTACTCTCAAGAGTGGCCATGAATCAGAAGCCCTTGACAAAAGTCAAGTGTTTTTGTTGTTTTGCTGTTTGTGTGTTTTTTTTAACTGTAAAAGATTGTCTGTTATGTTGCTGGAATTGGGAGATATTACCAGTATTCATTTCATCAAATACATTTGCGAGACATATGTGAACTTTTGAGGATAGATTGTGTCTAAAATTTAAGACTTACCATTCACCTAAAAAAAATTACTAAAACCTAGAGCTCAGAGAGAAGCTCTCAGGCATAGCAGCGACTTTTCCTCTTGATCTCCTTGTCGAGGCCTGAGAAATCAGCCATGGGAAGTCCTGAGCCTCTCATCCACCCACTCCTGCCTCGAGAAGGGACCGTCTTTCCCCAGGGAATTTGGAATTGATGTCTTCTAGCTAAAAGCCTTTTTTGGGGAAGTGAATTTTTTAAATCTCCCTAGAAAAATCTGTTCCCACATTTATAAAATGTCACAGTGTCTGTTATGTGAGTGTCTGTGTAAGAGGAAAAATAGAGTTGCATTGTGTTCTCAGTTAAGCGCACGTGCGCACGCACACAGAGATAAAGATAACAAAGATGAACAGCACACAAGCTGTGCAAGTATAATTTTTGTCTGTAAAATAAGATTTCTCCATAATAGTCTATGTGTTTCCTACTGCCAAAGGGGCCCTTTAGAGTAGTGAGAGAAGATCTTCACCCTGAAACCCACAGCGTCCCTTTTCAGCAGGAAGTAGCTAAGAGAATACGCCATCCCCTTTTCCTTATGACTCAGGGTGAAGTCTCTCTCAGGGAGGAGTGATAGGGAATGGCAAAGGACACACTGACAAAGGAGATTAATCAGAACTGACTTTGACAAGCACTGTGGCAATTGGACAATTAAAACAGACATTCGGATGGCGGGGAAGAAGAACAAACTGGGGAGGAGGGTGGAGAGAATGATGCGGCAATGAAGGAGTGAAAGCCCAGAATCCCTGTGAATGTTCATTGAAACTAATAAAATTTAATAATAATAAAAAAAACCAAAAAAAATAAAATAAGATTTCTAGGTGTTTGTTTATATTTCTTATTTGTGCACTTATAACTTATATAAATATAAAGTCTTCCTCAGAATTTTATTTCCTATGTAACAGCCCTTGTTAACAGGACAGCTACCCCTGGAAGATACTTAAATCTCTCTTCACCCCTGCTCCCAGTTGGGACTGAATATAAGGAACAGCCCATCATTATCCTATGTAATAGGCAGTTTCATTTCTTCTGTATTTCAAAGTATTCTTTTTTTCTCAAAAGATCCATTTTCAGTTCTTTTAATCATTTTGGTTTGCTTTGGTTATAGAACCTTATCGCCCTTGCTTAATCTAGCCGTGGAAACTGAACAGTCATTCCCAGTGGGATCACCACTGCTATACTGTGTTTATCAGATATGGTGAAAGTGTTTGAAAAGCTGGAATTACAAGCTTAATTTTTTTTTTTTTAAAAAAAAGGCTTTCTCTCCAGCTCCTACTATAGCATCAGTTACAGGGAATGGAAGTAACTCTTTTTCATAGTTTTAAAAGTTTTAAATAATTAATGAGAAATTATTTCAATTTAAATTTCATTCATAGTTATAGTAGCCTTTATCTCTCATTAAAACATATGTAGTATGATAGTTTAAAATATCAAAGGGAATTCAGGCATTGTTAGTAAATTGATAACTAATTATAAGGTTACAGGGAAATTTCTTTGTATTTGGTGGGGAAAGGAGAAACCATTGGGTGAAATTAACCCTTATTGAAGCTAGAAAAATAAGAGAAAAAAATTAACAGTCCAGAAAGAACAAAGTTATTGCAGTGCTCATGCTAATCATGTGACCATGAGTATTGTACTTAGTCTCTATAATAACTTGCTCTGTAAAGTGAGCCTTACGGAACCTACAATGGGTGAAAAACACTCAGTGCCTGACCCAGAGTAAGCACCTCA